AAACTGACCATACAACAGCTATTGCCTTGCTTGTTTTCTTGAGTTCCTCTTGTTCTCTGGTGTACAGTGATGACTTTACAAATAATGTCATGTAAATTGCATGGTTGTCTTAGTCTGTTCTCATCATTATCTTAAGCCTTGTTCTGCGTCTGTGAAGTTACACTGAGTTCTTTACTCTGAGAGGTTTTTAAAGCAGATGCATATGATTAATTCCCAAGAGCTAACATGAACCACTTATTGCAGAGCTAGAAAACCTGGTCCCTTCCAGATGTTGGTGGACCAACTCCCATAAGCCCCAGCCAGCCCAGTCAGTGTTCAAGGGTGAAGAGTGCTGATGTTGACTCTCCCTAACTTAGGTCACACCCACATCATATGGGGAAGGCATGTGACTTCCCCAAAGATTCCTGGGAACTCTACTGCCCACCAGCTGATGAACAGTAAAACTGAAATCACAGCACACAGTGATGCCAGGCGTTTGACAGATCCACCTTCCAGATCCACTATCCGCCTTCTAGGCTGGAATCTGATCAGGATCTGGTTGGCAGAGCCAAAAAATATTTTCCACTCCTACATTAGAGACTCATGATAGTATAAAATTGTGGGAGTTGATGGGTTGCGCTGGTTGTTTATTTGTTAAATTTGTGTCCCGCCCTTCATCCCAGGGCAGAAAACAAGAAGGGATAAAGCTGTTTTAAAAAACTTTAAAACTATTTTAGTACAGATGCAGACTGGAAAAGGCTGGTTAAAAGAGGAAGATCTTCAGTAGGCAAGTGGAGGGCAGCTGCCATAATGTGAAGTGTCCAGTGTGGTGTAGTGGTTAAGAGCAGTGGACTGATAATCTGGTGAACCGGGTTTGATTCCCCGCTCCTCCAGATGCAGCTGCTGGGTGACCTTGGGCTAGTCACACTTCTCTGAAGTCTCTCAGCCCCACTCACCTCACAGAGTGTTTGTTGTGGGGGAGGAAGGGAAAAGAAGATTGTTAGCCGCTTTGAGACTCCTTAGGGTATTGATAAAGCGGGATATCAAATCCAAACTCTTCTTCCAACATTGTGTGGAACAGGCCTCCGGATAAGATGTTATGAGGACATGCACATTGTTGCGGTGAGAGGTAGGGGAGTGAGACTGCACTTGCTTGTGGTCAGAACATTCATAGGCTTTCCCCATGCCTTCATCTGAAGAGATGCCAGTGGCTGTGATCCCATGTGTGCATGTTCATCATGATGTGCGAAAGAGGCTCTTCTCATTGGCTCCTCGGTCTTTCAGTCTCCTCTGCCCGCCCAGTGGCAACTCTTTTGGTGCAAACTGAGCAACGCCACTCATCCCCAATACCTGATCATCTTCCCCGCCCCATATGGGATTGAGAACACATGCATGAGAGTCAGAAAAGGGCGAGTGAGATGCCTGTAACACCCACTGACAATTATCCCGCACACCATCACCTGTCAAACCTCTCTGCATCACACGCACCAAATTCTGTGGCCCTCCTGTCTAAGCATAAGCTGAGGTTCTTTGGGTGCTGGTTTCTCTAAAAGGTAAAGGGACCCCTGACCATTAGGTCCAGTTGTGGCCGACTCTGGGGTTGCAGCGCTCATCTCGCTTTATTGGCCGAGGGAGCCGGCGTACAGCTTCCGGGTCATGTGGCCAGCATGACTAAGCCGCTTCTGGCGAACCAGAGCAGCGCACGGAAACGCCGTTTACCTTCCTGCCGGAGTGGTACCTATTCATCTACTTGCACTTTGAGGTGCTTTCGAACTGCTAGGTTGGCAGGAGCAGGGACCGAGCAACGGGAGCTCACCCTGTCGCAGGGATTCGAACTGCTGACCTTCTGATCGGCAAGTCCTAGGCTCTGTGGTTTAACCCACAGCGCCACCTGCGTCCCTGCTGGTTTCTCTACCACTCGCCAAATGCCATACTTGTAAGGAGCTGCCATGGATGCTCGGAGGACATGGCACCCAGGGTAGAACTTCTTCAAGCGGTGCTTTGTGTCAGCACGTCATGTGCAAAATGAAAGTGCAAATGCCTTCAATCTGATCAGGAGGCTCTGGCCTAAAGCCAGTGGTCTCCATCTCATGCTAATGAAGAAGAAGGCACCAATACAAATACTGCGGCTGCGTAACCCACCCAAGAGAAACCATTGCAGCAGCGAACACAGTTGCCCACTGTTAAGATGTGCCAAGCACGCTCTCTCCCAACGTTTGTGGTTCTCCTGAAAGTCTGGCCTTTTGAAATGGAGATGTTTCGTATCGGCCTCAGCAACTTAACCTTTGTACCATTTCAACACAGTCTTTTTTTAGTCAATGCAGTGGCCGCGACAAGCTTCACCATGCAAGACAAATTAACAGAGCCCCCAAACACATTATCTTTCCCCTGCTGTTGTTGATCTTCCAAAGTTTTCAAAATACTTCTGTAGTTACTCCCTGTCTTGCAGAACCTTACCATGAGAATTGAGTTGGAGGAAGGGCCAGGGCCAGATTCAGGATGGGTGCCACACAGGGCGCAGAGTTGGGGGTACAAAACAACAACAACCACCCTATATTTATATGGGTATCTGCTGAGAAGATCCATAAAAAAGCAACTGTACCAAAAGGAATTATTGTGAAAATAAAATTATTATTTTTCTGGGCGGGGGGCAGGGGCAAGAATGCCATAGTACCGAAGGATTTGCTGAATAATAAATTAGAAATTGGAATACAGAAAGGGGAGGTATGAGGAAGTCGGGGAAGTAAGTTATAAGAAAATAAGGTGTTGAAATTATACTTGTTTTTAATTTTCTGTTTGTCTGTTCTATGGTATTGTTTTGTTTTGTTGTTATAAAAAACTTTTGAAACTTTAATAAAAAATTTATAAAAAAAAAAGAATGCCATAGTACCAAAGTCCACCTCTATATGGGGCTGTAAAATGCAAGTTTATACAAGGTCAGATTATTTGTCCATCTCACCTAGGGCTGTCTACTCTGAGTAGCACTGGATCCTGGATCACTAGCAGAGAGTCCTTCCCATCACTTGTCACCCAGTCCTTTAATCCATAGGTTCAAGGGATTAAATATGGAATTAAGCGTGAGACTTTCTCTATGCAAAGCATGCATTCTAACACTAGACTACAGTCCCTTCTTCCCTGTCTTGTAGTCTAGCAACATGTCTTAATGACTGACCAGCCATAGTCTCAGGGAAGTATATAAGCAATGTGTGCCTTATCTCAAGGATAGCGAAATTTTGTCTCTCCAGATGTTGGTGGACTGCAACTCCCATCATCCCTGACCATTGGTCATGTTGGTTGGGGCAGATGGGAGCTTCCCTGTCCCTTCTTTATACCTTACAGTCAATTTGGAAGAGATTACAGTTCAACTAATTGAAAATGGTTTTCATTTAGACAATGTGCTGTGGGTGTTCATATTGTGGTCAATTCTGTCTTAGTCAAGTTGGGTGAATGAAATGAACTTTGTAGGTACATGCTAGAATTAAGAGTCAACAGTTCTTAAAGATAAAATTCATGCATTTGCCCAGACTCATTTCTGATGTCAAAGAGAGACAGACAGACAGACAGACAGACAGACACTGTAATAGTATTTTTCCTTGCTTTTAGAAGCAGGGTTTGAATTTCACCTCTGGCTGTGATGCCACAAGGTGAGATTTGTGAAACAGCCAGAATGAAATGCAAAACTACTTGAATTTCAAGTCTTTTCAAATTTTGTTTCTGGATATGAAATGGGGACCTTTTCCATGATACAGGACATGAATTTTTCCAGTAAACCTAAAAAGGCCCTCCCTTTACTACCACTGTTATGCAACAACTAGGCACTGTATGGAAGCAGATAGTTGTTCCAGACCATATGGTTTACCATCTAATTGAAACCAACAGAACAAAGGGAAGGTGTGGACAGAATTTAACACAGCCAGCAGCCCAGAATAGGAACGGGAAAATTACCTGTTAAGTAATGGTTCTGATTCTCTCGGTGAGTGTTGTTGGGATGTGGAAAACATCTCACAGGAAAGTTGAACCCCATGGCGAATGTAGCTCACAGCTCAGTTCCAAGAAGGGGGAAAGTGACAGAAAAGCCGGTTATCAGCAATTGCAAAAACAACGAGACTAGTTTAATCCAAGTGAAGTTGTGCAAAAACGCCACGTGTTTTCATGGCTCATATTCGTTTCAATAGGGTTTGCTCAATGACTTATCAGTATCATCACACAGCAGTCGCCTCGGCTGCACATTGCTTAAAGCCATAAGCTAAACCAAAGATTTAAACTTAAGATGCTAGTGCAGCTTGTCAAAATCGCAGGTCCTTTGCTCCTCCCCTGCTCTTGTTTCTGGAGCAAAGCTGTGCGCTAAGCCATGGTTTTATCTGAACCCGGCTCATGGTGTGTTTCTTGTTCTTGGCTTACCACTCCTGCTTTCGGGGAGACAAACCACAGGCCGAAGTTCAGACATCATGCTGAATAGTAATTTGTTTGATTTATTTATTTCATTAAAAACATGTACAGTGGTACCTCGCAAGACGAATGCCTCGCAAGACAAAAAACTCGCTAGACGAAAGGGTTTTTGGTTTTTTGAGCTGCTTCGCAAGACGGTTTTCCCTATGGGCTTGCTTTGCAAGACGGGAACATCTTGCAAGTTTGATTCCTTTTTCTTAACACAGTTAATACAGTTGCGACTTGACTTCGAGGAGCAACTCATAGAACGCGGTGTGGTAGCCTTTTTTGAGGTTTTTAAAGACTTTGGTGATTTTTGAAGCTTTTCCAAAACTTTCCCGACACCGTGCTTCGCAAGACAAAAAAAATCGCAAGACGACAAAACTCGCAGAACGAATTAATTTCATCTTGCAAGGCACCACTGTATACTGCTCTTCCTTCGAAGATCTCAGGGTGGTTTACAGCGTAAAACTACAAAATAAAAACACTGTACAGTAATCCCAAGCAGTAATCACAAACTGTATATTCAATTTCCCTTTGCCAAAGATTTTTGCTTTCTTTTTCTCTCTTCCCCACCCCCCTCCCACGTCTAGGAAGAAGCTTCCAATGGCTCCAGCTGCCTGGGAATGTTGACGGACACTTGCCACAAATTAGATTTGACCCTGTTGGGAAAAGCGGAGGGAAAGCTTGGGGAAGAAACCTAATCTTCTGGGTGTGGAGCCTTTTGCTCCAAAAATCTGGAGCGCAGAAGGCATGGGAGATTCCTATACGGCCACTTTCCCTAACGGGAATGGACTCCTGTCTCCTTCAGCAAGCCCTCAAGCTTCCACCACTTACAGCAATGATTACAGCCCGTTCTCCCATTCCTTCCCAGCCTCCCCAACATCTCAAGACCCATCATCCCTGCTGGTATCCAAGGGGCACCCTTCCTCCGACTGCCTCCCCAGTGTCTACACTTCTTTGGACATGCCACACCCTTATGGCTCCTGGTACAAAGCTGGCATCCACCCGGGCATCTCCACCACCTCTAGCAACCCCACGGCTTCCTGGTGGGACATGCACTCCAACAGCAACTGGCTGAGCTCCCAGCCCCAGTCAGATGGACTTCAGAGCTCCTTGCAGACCATGCCCAGCCAGGCTCCCATCAGCCCCCAACTGCCCAGTTACACATCCGAATTCACCACCTTAAACCCTGCTCCATACCCGGCTGTGGGCATCACTTCCTCGTCGCACCTTCTCCCTTCAGGTCAACATGTGCTGCCCCAAGAGATGTACAAGCCCAAGCCGGTGGCCAACAACTCCCTGATGGAAGGTGGGATCGGACTGAAGTCCGGAAGAGGCGGCTCCTTTGGGAGTACGGCGGGCCGGTCGACCTGCGACTGCCCCAACTGCCAAGAGCTGGAGAGGCTCGGGGCCTCGGCAGCCAGCCTGCGGAAGAAGCCCATCCACAGCTGCCACATCCCGGGCTGCGGGAAGGTCTACGGGAAGGCCTCGCACCTCAAGGCCCACCTGCGGTGGCACACCGGGGAGCGCCCCTTCGTCTGCAACTGGCTCTTCTGCGGCAAGCGCTTCACCCGCTCGGACGAGCTGGAGCGCCATGTCCGCACCCACACCCGGGAGAAGAAGTTCACCTGCTTGCTTTGCAACAAGCGCTTCACCCGTAGCGACCACCTCAGCAAGCACCAGAAGACCCACAACGAGATGGGGGTAGGGAAGCCCCCCGAGGGCGAAGCAGAACGGGAAGAGGCGGCCGCAGTGGCCGGTTCTCCCAGCGCTGCCTTGCAGGATGGCCTCCCTGGAGACGAGAAAGACGCCACCAGCCCAGAGCAGAGCAACCTGCTGGAGATCTAGGTCGCTGGTGCTGAGTGCTTGCTCCACCTTTGTTGCGTCACACCACCGACACCATTTTTAAACTGAGCGAAATAATTTATTTCCTGGGGGAAAGCCCAGACTCAGACCTCGTGCCAAACTTCACTTCCCTTCCAACCCCCCAAACGAACTTCGCTGAGAGACCCCTGAAGGTCCACGACTTTCTGGCCAAAGACACAAATATCCGAGCCAAAATCTTGAAGCTAAGTCTCCGGTCATCCTCTGGATGGTTACAACCAAAGCGCGTCCCTGCCTTGGTCTCGGCATGGTCACTCAAGGGAATGGACAAGAAATCTGAAGTTGTGCCATGCAGAGTTGGCCAACTAGCAGGCCAGGCAGGAATAAAGTGGGTTTTTCTCAGGGTATGTATAGGAATCACCTTTTGTCTAGCGTAACCCACTGAGGATTCAGTTTGAATCACCTCCTCTAACTTTGTGCAGTGAGCAGCAGTCTTGCAGCAGGTGGAGAGAAGAAGACAGTGAGAGGTCTGGAGCAGCTTTGAGACTAAGGTGGAATACCTGTCTCCACAGAACATGCCCCTGGTCCAGAGCTCTTAAAGAGGCAAGCGCGATCTCTAGCTCAGGACATGGCAAATAGGCTTTATAGGTCCAGATTCGGAAGGGGCTGCTGTTCCTTTAAGAATGGCAAGCTAGGGCAAATTCCACTAGAGGCGGCTTTTCAGGTACACAGCAGCACTGATAAGAAAAGCCATAACTGGTGACACTCTTAAAGGTACAGAAGCCATCTCCGAGTCTGGACATGCAATTGACAGTGGGACTAATGGGAAATAGAACTGACTGGTGGAGCATGAATAAATTTGAAGCCCTTTTATATGCAATTGGGAGCCATTGGTTGAGGGTTTGTACAGGTAATGGGAGCTTTGCCATTAAAATCCCGTTCAATTTAAAATGAAGCATGTTGCTCTTGGGCAGTAGCAGGCAAGTTCAGAGGACAGTTTTGAAGGGGGACGGATGGGCATCCATTTACACAACCATCTCTCCGTTCTTCACACACAACAAGGGCTCCTTCGCTCCCTCTCCTGTCAATGCAAGTCTGGCAAAGGCCATAGCAGAGTGTTGGTGGTATAACATCGCTCCAGAGACGGTGCCTGCCTTTTGCAGGTGCCAGCCATGCCTTTGCTTCTGGTTTAGAATACATGTACCAAACTGAGGACCATGGGAATGGAAGCCGTCCACATGGATAAGAGACTATATTCAGACAGTTGATGGACATGGCGCCATACTGTTAAAAACGGGACTCTCTTTCCATTGAAATCCAGAGAACGTGGAAATTTCTTCTGATGCACTCTGCTAGAAGCACAGAGGTTGGAGAGGAACGAAGGCCAACCACTCTGTAGAAGTCAAGAAGGGGCAAGTTGTCCCACGAAGGTGCTACAAGACCCTTGGAGCTCCCTCTCCCCATGTATTTAATCTAGAAGTATATTTATGCCTTAAATTATGATGACAAATTAACAGGAGGAAGGAGGCAACTAGGTTCTCCAAGAGGCCTCTGTAATGTGAGGCATCTGTTATCTTATCAGGGTAGTCTCTCTGCTAACCGGGGGACTTGCTCTGTGCAAAGCAGCATGATCTATAACTGGCTCGGTTTCTTTTGTTTTTTGTTCGCTTCGTAAGGTGAAAAAAATGGAGTATTTATAATCTTGAAATGCTTTTTTTTTAAGTTCTGTGTCGTTTTTTTACGATCCATTGGGATTTTGAAAACCCCTTGTTAATATCAGAAATACGGAGCCAGATTTTCAATTTGCTAAGTGCACATATTTCGGGGGGAAAGGGTTTAGTTTGCTTTAAGACCTCTGGCTTAATCATCAGTGATGGGGAGCCACTGGCACAAGCCCCTATTTTGGGGGGCAGAGCTGGTCTAAGACATTTTGCCGCCTGTGGCGAAGAACAGGACCGTGTCCCACATTCCATGTTCAGAAGCTGATTTGACTGGCAGGTGAATCTTATTTCAGGGCTGATGATGAGCCTTCACCATACCTGAGGCTCAGCAGGTTAATTTTGGGGGTGTAGGACTGGCCATGAGGCATACACAGCTGACCTCCAGCAGAAGACAGTGGTCAGAAGTAACAAACAGGGGATATCTTTGACATATGCCACCTCTCCCTGCCCAACGGCATGGCCAACTCTGATTTGGGGACAGTGCCTTTCTGTGGACGCATATTGCTGAACTGCTTCCATTTCCCTTAGATCAGCCTGCAGTTTCAGGGGCATTGGAAGTACGACACATTTCAAAGAGGCTGCCATGGAAAATGGCATTCCTGTGTTTGCCACTTTTCTCCTGTAACATTTGGGCACCTTTTTCAGGTTGTGGCTTTATGTTGGGTGCTTCTTCCCACATTGTTCATTGGCTGGAAGAGGGTACACCACATCTGATGGTGTCAGCATGCCTAAACATCATTGGGAGAGTGAGGGGTGCCCATTATTAAGCAAGTAAACCAGATACGCTTCAGCATCTGTGTAAGAAGAGAAGTACACTTATTTCAGCAACAGAAGTAAAAAAATCTTTTTTTAAAAAAACAACAACATTTTGCCTGCTCGGTGGCACATGTCACATGGATTTTTTTAAAAAAAACCAACAGTTTGGACTTTGCTTGTTATTAATTTAATTAAGAATAAAATATAAGCTATGTTGTGGGGGAAGCTTAAAGAAACTCGAGTCTTATCTTTGGAGGAAAGCACAATCCAGTGCTTCTGTACCACAATTCAAATAAAATTGCACTCCTAAGGCTTGCAATGTGACTATTTATGGGTTGGGCCTTTATAGTTGTAAACAGCCTTACAGTCATGGTGGGTAACCCTGAGGTCTACTATTATTTATTTAAAAAAACTGAATTTTGGTCGCAAAACAAGCAGGAGAGTTACAACACACCATTCGAAAATCACATAATAAATCAAACTTGCAACTCACAAGATTAAAAGGGGGAAAGAGTCACCGTAGTGGATCTTCCTTTGCAGGGCACAGCTGCAAAGTTTGTTGTGACTTTTAGGAAAGGGATGCACAAGGAGCACACGTGTTGGAGCATTACTGGCCAGTTTCCGGTGGAGCACCTGGGGTCTGCCGGTTGCTAGGGCTTCTTCAAAGGATGCTGGACTAGGTGAGGTATGTTCGTAAGAAGACTTCGCACTCAGGATCTATTAACACAGACTAGGCATGCCTCAACTGTTTAAGAGCTGCTTAGTAGTGTGGCATTCGTTCTTGCTTTGTAAATTTAAGGCCACAGGGATTCTAGAAAAGAAGACTACACGATACTGAAGTCCCCTCGCCCCTGATCTATGGTATTCTGTCAGTTCACAATGGGCAAGTCCAGGGGTCAGCAACCTTTTTCAGCCGTGGGCCAGGTCCACCGTCTCTCAGACCATGTGGTGGGCCAGACTATATTTTTTTGGGGGGTGAATGAATTCCTATGCCCCACAAATAACCCAGAGATGCATTTTAAATAAAAGGACACATTCTACTCATGTAAAAACACACTGATTCCTGGACCGTCCGTGGGCCAGATTGAGAAGGTGATTGGGCCGCATCCGGCCCCCGGGCCTTAGGTTGCCTACCCTGGGCAAGTCCCAGTTCTTCTGCACGTGAACTGAGTGTGTGCCCTTATACATGCCCCCACAATCCCCTGAAATACAGCGACATTCAGGGCCAGACATGTACAGATTCCTTGGTAGATGTTCAACTTCCAAGGTGTCTAGCAAATTGGGGTGAGCGCACAAAGGAGAAAACTTGAATGCCAATTATATTTTTTCATGACTTTGAAATTGGGACAAAAAGGCATCCTAAATGGGACAGGGGACACTGCTGTTTCTTAAGGGATGGGTGGGGGCAGACAGCAGCTGTAGTCCCGGCACTTTTTGGAGCTTTTTAAAAAAAAATATGGCAGCAACTACATTGCCTCATTAGCCTGAGAATCCGTCAGCTTGCCTGTAGGTAACCTCAGTGACTATGAGGTAGATATTGCCTCTGGAGGTCAGCTGGGGGGCCATATGGGATTTTCCTGCGTTTAGTTCCCATAGCGGAGAAGGAATCACACTCCCGCAGGGCAATCATCGCAAAGCCCCCAAACTGTTGTTTGGGAAATGGTGACTACCAGAGATCCCAGCCCCCCTTGGAACAAAGGCCTTCTGTCAGCAAGGCTTTCGCAAAGGCACAATGGACCTTTGTGAAGAGACAAGCTCCCTTCAGAAGGAGCAGCAATTACAGCTAACACCAGCCAGCCTTGACTTTAACTCCTTGGGATTCACTATATTGTCCTGGCCCAGCCTAAAGGGAATATAAGATGCTCAGCAGGTCCTCTTCCTCACAAGTGATAACTGGGCGCCATTGTGGCAACACTGTTGTGATGCTGTCTGAAATCATCTTTAAAAAGATGGAAGAAGGGTCTTCAGCTATTCTGGGCCAGTGGGCACATTTGGAACTGAGAACGTGCCATGGACACAAATGGTTGCTGTGGACGTGGGCCCATTCACAATATGGCAGTGCCCATTTCACAGAATCGTGGTGAGGCCAAAAGGTACCGTATTTTTTCCTTTATTTCCCCCCCAAAACCGAACCAGGTCGAGGAACAGCGGGATGGCGGCGCTGCGCCTCCCTGCTGTCCCCCGAGCTTGTGGGGCTGGCCGATGTCTGCCCGGCGCGAGGGGCGCTCTGCTTCAGGGTGCCCCGCCCACCGGGCAGCAGGCTGCTATCCGCAGCATCGGGAGCCCTGCGGGGAACTCCTGCAGGGCTCCCCACGCTGTGGATGCCTGCCCGGCGTGAAGGGCGCTCTGCTAGGCTGCGGATGTGTTCCCGTAGCGCCGGGCGCTCTGCTTTCAGGGCGCCCGACGCTCCGGGAAGCAGGCTGCTATCCGCAGCCTAGACATCCCTGCAGGACCTCCCGCAGGGCTGCCTAGGCTGCGGATGTCTTCCTGAAGCCTGGAGAGCGAGAGGGGTCGGTGCGCACCGATCCCTCTCGCTCTCCAAGCTTCAGCGAAAGCCTGCATTCGCCCCATAGGACACACCCAGATTTCCCCTTCATTTTTGGAGGGGAAAAAGTGCGTCCTATAGGGCGAAAAATATGGTAAGTAACTTGCCCAAGAGCCTGGGTATAATGCAGATGTGAGGTTCTGAGCCCCAAAGCAGAAAATCACTTCTCTGAACTTACATCAAATAGGAAGATCATTCTCAAACTAACTTTCCACAAACAAAGGCCGCCCCCTCTGTTGTGCTAGCGGAATAGCAGCGTTGGCTATGACCCAAGCCAGATTTCTTCCTCACCTCCGCTGATGTTTCCTCACAGTTAGAAGCACTGCTCCTCAATGACTGGTTCTCCACAGTATGTCAGATGTTACAAGACCAATATACAAAGCCCGTCATAAACTATGAAGCGATCCCCCACCAAAAAAATACACACTTCTCTTCCACTCTTTTCCTGCAGCCTGATCTCTACTTCTTTAGATGCTGAGACAGATCTGGGGAAAGCAAAGTGGGAAAGTCTACTGAAAGCCGATCAAGAGGAGAGCACAATACCATTACCAGCAGAAAGGCACTGCAAGATTTTTACTGGGTTCATTTTAATTATACTGTACATCCAGGATACTTCCATGTGGCTCACATATAATATGGTTCCAGCTGAAGCTTTTGCGAAAACAGGTTCAATTTCTGGCTACCTCTCCCCTGTTTATTTTGGTTTTCATTAAGAGTAGATGAAAACCCTTGCTATATATGACCAAGATCCCATCTAGTCCAGCATCTGCAGCAGCCGTTCCAACAGGATATACAGTTGTACCTTGGAAGTCAAACAGAATCCATTCCGGAAGTCCGTTCAACTTCCAAAACATTGGAAAACCAAAGCGCGGCTTCTGATTGGCTGCAGGAAGATCCTGCAGCCAATCGGAAGCCCCATTGGACGTTCGGCTTCCAAAAGAACGTTCAAAAACCAGAACAGTCACTTCTGGGTTTTGATCGTTCGAGAGCCAAAACGTTCGAGAACTAGGCTGTTCAACTTCCAGGGTATGACTGTATACCGGTATATAGGAAAGGGAGAGAGGTGGGACTGCAGAACCTGTCCGTCAGCCCTGCTGAAAGGCTAGCAACTCATTTCAAGAACTGAGTAAACAATAACTAGTGAATGAGTTTGCTCTTTTCCTCCTCACTCCCAACCCTTTTTCCTTTTGTGTCGTGTCTTTTAGACTGTAAACCTGAGAGTAGGAAAGGGCTGTCTCATCACTGATACTTGTAGACTGAAAAGCAGGATAAAAATGCTTTGGTGAATTAACGAATTCATCAATTAATATAAATTAAGGCCATAGCCCTCTCCTGCTGTCACTCCCAGCTGCTGGCATTCTGTCTCTGAACGTGAAGACTTCGCGTAGCTTCCATTGCTAATAGCCACTAACAGACCTACTCTTCATGATTTTTTTTCCCTGGTCCCCCTTTGAATCATTCTCAGGTTGCAACACGTACAAACTTACATGGGGGGAATTCACACTGAACTCCAGCAGAAAACAAACTGCCTTGGAAAGTAGTGGACTTTCCTTTGTTAGAGGTTTTCAAGCAGAGGCTGGATGATGACTACCTATCAGGGATGCTGTAGCAAAGGAGTTCCTGCATCAGAAATAGCGGGTTGGACTAGATGACCTTTGAGTTACCCTCCCACTTCTATAATTTTATGTCCTATTTCTGAGTACGCATAGGACTGCAGCATGAGCCGGTGGATTCCAAAAAACATGCATTGTGTGAAGTGCTTTATTTTGTCTTTCCTGGATCTACAGCACTACCAATTGATTTCACTGGGTGATCCCATGCCCACTAAATTCTGTTGGCAGGTATATAAATTAACTTGGAGTTTTCATCCTAACATTTTGTAACTGCTATTAGTACAACATATGGGAATAAAGGAGGTGGTGAGGCTTTTCATGGAACGGAAGAGACTTCAATGAAGAAAAGGTGAATTTTGTTGAATGTTTAGGGAGGCTTTTAATGTTTGATGTAGTACAGTATTTTAATATTTTTTTTGGAAGCCGCCCAGAGTGGCTGGAGAAGCCCAGCCAGATGGGCGGGGTATAAATAAGAAATTATTATTATTATTATAATTTAGGCACCATTCAGGGCACATGGAAAACAGCCATATTTCAAAAAGTAAAATCCCCCAAAAGTTTTTGAGATTTTTTAAAGACAAGCCCCAAAGTTCTTTTTTTACAAAAACGCAAAAAGACGTGATTTTTCCAGTTTCACTACCTTCCACCTTTCAAATCCCAGTAATGTCTGGGAAAATATGCCACCACTAGCAGGGAGGAGGTTCAAATGTACTATAACATGGGTAGGCAAACTAAGGCCCAGGGGCCGAATCTGGCCCAATCACCTTCTAAATCTGGCCTGTGAACGGTCAGCATGTTTTTACATGAGTAGAATGTGTCCTTTTATTTAAAATGCATCTCTGGGTTATTTGTGGGGCATAGGAATTCGTCCCCCCCCAAAAAAAAATATAGTCTGGCCCCCCACAAGGTCTGAGGGACAGTGGACCGGCCCCCTGCTGAAAAGGTTTGCTGATCCCTGTACTATAGTATTGGGGGTGTGTGCAATTTTTCCACTGTTCAGGACTGCGTCAATATGCCCCCATGTGGCAAAAAGAAGAAAACTAAGTATGCCAGGTACTGAAACTAGGGGAGCTGAATTGCATGCACATTTCACAGCTCTATTCTATCAGTGCTTACTCAGAAGTAAATCCCCTTGAGTTCAGTGGGACTTATGG